GAGAGGTCTGCTGCACCATGTGGATCACCTCCTGGGCCAGGGATCAAACTTGTGCTGAAGCATCTGAGGCAACCTTTGTAGTGAGCATAACCGGTTGCCCCAGCAGGGAGGGCCCAGATCTGAGTTTTCTCCTCCAAAAGCACCTAATATCAATTTGAACCCCATTTGTTCCCAACCTCCTGACAATTGTTCTCTTCCAGTGTTTTAGCTTTATGAGAGGTCCCTGCCTCCTAGTCCTTACCTCATGTTCCCTCCAAGAACCTTGCAAAGGCACAGGATTTTTCCAGGATGTTGTGCTAACATCTTCTCGGTCTATATTAATCAAAACACAGTCTACTACTGGCTTAAATCAGCTACAATATCCAATGCTTTCAACATGCTTTCAAAAGAGTTTCATTTGCCATGCAAGGGTGTGCACACTTTGACTCACTTTCCTTCCTAACATTCAGGTTATCAGTTCATCAACATTTTGCAATACACATGGTGTTATAAATAATATAATTGCTAATGCAAAATTTCATGGCGCTATTTAAAAATAATACTCCAATGCAAGTACAAATTAGGAGCAATGAATGTTCAATTTGAAAATCCCCACACTAGAAGGATATAGAACTTAAACACTCTTTAAAATGATTCCCTTTCTGAGCTATCAGCTATATCACTAGTGAATTCATACAAGATGCAAATATCATTGCTACAGATACAGTGTAGTGACAACATGGATTTCTAACTGACAAGTTAGTCACCTGATCAATTTCAGTGACTTTAATTGATAATCAATCTATAATAAATAGAAATATTGGGAATTCAAAAAAGAACAGCTTTATTGATTACAAATTATACACTGAATCATTTACTTACTGGAGTACACTATTTAGTAATTTTTTTAAAGATTTATTTATTTTATGCATACAGAACTGGGGTACAGGCCAGAGGCGCAGGTGCAGTGAGAGGATTCACCAGAGACAGAGTGGGGAGCACAACAGGCCATCTGACGAAGTACACTGCTGAGGGGAGGAGTGGGGAGATCAGGAGAGCTCTGCTGTGACATGTGGGTCACTTCCGGGGTGGGGATCAAACTCATGTAAAGTGGCTTTAGCTTCTTAGTACTGTGCTTTAACCCACTGAGCCACCAGGGAGTGCCCAATTTTTAATACCTCATAGTTAATCTCCATTCCCCTCCAAAATGTCATAACCATTAGGAGTTACCTGCCTTCTTCCTTAGGCCCAGACACCCATCCACCAACCTATTTAATGTCTCTATGAATTTGCCAATTTTTGGACATTTCATAATAACCCACAACAACTTGTCCTTTATTACTAACTTATTTCTTGTAGTATAATATTTTCAAAATTCATTAATATTGTAGCATGTGTTAGTATACTTTTTTTTTTAAAGATTTATTTATTTATTCATATAGAGCTGGGGTACAAGCCAGAGCTGCGGAGGGTGAGAGGATTCACCAGAGACAGAGAGAGGAGCAGAACAGGCAGATCTACAAAGTACACCGCTGAGGGCGGTGTAGGAGAGGTCTGCCTCACCATGTGGATCTCCTCTGGGGCAGGCAGGGATCGAACTCATGTGGAAGTGACTTAAGCTTCTTTGTACTGTGCTCTAACCCACTGTGCCACCAGGGAGGGCCCAGTATACTTTTTTAATTACCAAATGAGATTTCATAGTTTGGATACACCACATTTTATTTATTCACTCAGCAACTGATAGACATTTATGAGTAATGCTTCTATAAGCAGTTTTTGTACAGATATGTTTTTATTTATCTTGTATTACATACCTAAGAGTGGAATTCCTGACTCATTTGGTAACTCTATTGGCTTGAGGTTGTTCCAGATTGCTTTTCAAAACAAATGGACCATTTTACATGCCCACCAGCATTTTATAAGGATTGTAATTTCTTCACATCTTCACCAACGGTTGCTATTGTTTTTATTATTATTTTTTTTAACCAACTAAGGCATGTGAAGTGGCATTCCATTATGCTTTTAACTTGCAATTCCCTAATCACTTCCTCACACTAATAACACTGGCCATCTTTTCATGTGCTTCTTGGATTTTGTGTAGTTTTTTTCTAGAGAATTAACGATTCAAATGTTTTGCCCATTTTTAAGTTGGGTTATTTATCCTTTTAGTATAGAATTTAAGGAGTCCTTTCTACATGTATTCTATATACAAGTCCTTTATCAGCTATAAAATTTGCAAAATTTTTCTCACATTATTTAAGTTGCCCTTTTACTTTCTTGATTTTGTCCATTAAAACACAAAAGGTTTATAATTTTGATGAAGTCAAATTTATCTATGTGTTTCTTTGCTTGCTTGGTTTCAATGTCACATCTAAGAGACTATTGCCAAATGCATGGTTACTGTTTACATCTATTTCTTCTTCTAAGGGTTTTATAGATTTGACACATATTGAGATCTTTGAGGTAATTTTTGTATATGATGAGTAGAGACCTAACATCCAATTGTGTTCTAATTGGATATCCAATTTTCTTAGTACCATTGTTGAAAATAACATCATTTCCCCACTAAATTATCTTGGACTTTGTTGGAAAATAACTGTAGAGGTGGGTTTTCAATTCTGTGAATCTGTATTATATTTATGCCAGTGACATTTATCTTGATGTGTATGGTTTTAGAATAAGTTTTGAAATTGGGAAGTATGAATCCTCCATCTTTGATCTTTTTCAAGAATATTTCACTATTATTAGTCCCTTGAATTTCTATATGCAAGTTAAGATCAATTTGCCAAATTCTGTAAGGAAGACTGTTCAGATTTTGATAAAGAATCTTTTGAATCTGTAACCACTTTTATTAGTATTTTCATCTCAATAATATTGAAACTTATAATCATTGACTGTATCTTTCCATTTATTTAGACTTTATTTTCTTTCAATAATGTTTTTCAGTATTTAAATTTTTACGTTTTTCATTAAGCTTATCAAACATTTCATTCTTAGTGATATTGAAAATAAAATTACTGAGGCCTCCCTGGTGGCACAGGGGTTAAGTCTCAGCATTATCAAGCTATCACCAGCCACTGTGGCATGAGTTTGATCCACAGTCCAGGAGCTGACGTACATGGAATGCAGACCTCTTCTATCTCTCCTGCTGCTCCCCTCAGTAGTGAATTTTAGTTGATCCAGCATTTTAGTTGATCCAGCTGTTCAGTTCCCCACTCTGTCTCTGGTGAATTCTCTCAGGACCCACACCTCTGGCCTTTACCTTAAATCTTGTATGAATAAATAAATAAACTAAATATTCTTTAAAAAGAAAATTAGGCCCTCCCTGGTGGTGCAGCATGTTAAAGCATAGCACTGAGAAGCTAAAGCCACTTCCTCATGAGTTCGATTCCCGCCTGCCCCGGAGGTGACCACATGGTGTGGCAGACCTCTCCTGGCCTGCCCGCTGCTTCCCTCAGAAGTGTACTTTGTCAATCTGCCTGTTCTGCTCCCCACTCTGTCTCTGGTGAATCCTCTCACCCTCCGCATCTCTGGCCTGTACTCCAGTTCCATATGAATAAATGTAATAAATCTTTAAAAAAAAATTAAATTCCATTCTTACATTTGTTTTGCATGCTTGTTACTATATAGAAATATTTAATACTCTGGTTTCTCTTTAGATCGTACAAATCTTTCGCCTTTTACTATATAGAAATATAGTTGATTTCTATATGCTTGCTTATAAATTGAAAACTCAACTGGTTTATTGGCTCTATGAGTTTATTTTTTCATTGAATTTGTTAGTATTTTTTCTATATATATCTATATACAACATATGATGTATAAAAGAAGATTCATTCAATCTAACTGATTTAATATTCCCACATAATTGCTGTGGCCAGAATCTCCAGTACAGAGTGGAAGTGGTAAGAGCAAACATCATTGTTTTGTTTCTGATCTCAGAGAGGAAAAACTTCAATTACACCACCAAGCATGATGTTAGCTAATATTCAAATTTTTTAGTCTCAATTTGAAAGCATTTTAAGTTTAAGTGCTAATTGCTTTGCAGCACAGCATACTGGCATTAGTGTTAGTAACCTCTAGGAAGGTCAAAAGAATTCTTCCACTCTGTAAAGTTGTGGACTTTGTCACAATGTTATCATATTTGCTCTTTAGCTTCAGCCACCCTGCCCCTCTGCCCCTCAGTCCTCACTCCCCCAGTGCTCAAATCTGCTGAGGTGTAGTTTACTGATCTGGTGCAGGGAATGCAGTTTGGGCTGACTGAAAAACCCAGCACATCAGCAATGGCCTGTCAGAGCTAAAGTGGCAAGCTCTTCTTTGAAGTGGCTTAGTAGGCAATGTCAGCTGGCCCCCAAATACTGTAGAAGCGAACTTAGAGTTTCAACATGTGAGTCTTTCACTTTTATGCTGACGTTTGTGAGTGTTCACTGTCAGGATCAGGTGTAAGCAGTGTGCTTAAATTCCACTTGTTGACTGGGATTAAACCAAATAGCCTCAAGCCATAGGAATGTATCAGCCCATACAGTACACATTTTACATGTTTAATCTCGATATATGAACTCTGTATGCCCATAACTATTTTTAATAGTCGATATATTTATAACCAAGAAGATACAGCAAAATAGAATCAGATACTCCATTTCCAGAGGAAGTTATGTAATCAAGTGACATTTTGATAATGAATAAAAAAGGAGACACCCCTAAGTGATACTTCTAATGGTGATTCTATTATCTGCAGTAATGGTATCAAAGGCCTGTCTCAGTGCTTATCTTATGGCAGGCGTTATTTTAAGTGCTTCTCATGGATTAATTTGTAATATGAGACACTAAAATCTCACTATTCCAAGTACATACTGCTAGTAAAGTGGTTGAAGTGGGACCAAAACTTAGGTGTTTGACCTCTCAGTCATGCTCTTAATCACTGTGGAATACAGCCAGTTTTACTCACATATATGCATCCTGTTGGCCATTGAAAACCACCACGGAGGTGATAAAGAAACTGCCGTGATGTGTTCCTTTTATTCTTAGGGGTTTTTACCAAGAAACTGATACCATTAAAACAGGTTTCTGGCCCTCCCTGGTGGCGCAGAGGGTTAAAGCACAGCACTGAGAAGCTTAAGCCACTTCCGCATGAGTTCGATTCCCGCCTGCCCCAGAGGTGACCACATGGCATGGCAGACCTCTCCTGACCTGCCTGCTGCTCCCCTCAGCAGTGTGCTTAGTCGATCTGCCTGTTCTGCTTCCCGCTCTGTCTCTGGTGAATCCTCTCACCCTCCGCATCTCTGGCCTGTACCCCAGTTCTGTACGAATAAATAAATAAATCTTTAAAAAAAAAAAAACAGGTTTCTAAATGTTACATGTTTTAAACTTTATTTAAGTTTAAGCACATTTATTTATGCTTACAGAACTGGAATACAGGCCAGATGTGTGGTGGGTGAGAGGATTCACCGGAGACAGAGTGAGGAGCAGAACAGGTAGATTGACAAAGACACTGCTGAGGGGAGTAGCGTAGGGTCAGGAGAGGTCTGCCGCACCATGTGGGTCAGCAACCTGGCTGGGGATTGAACTCATGCTGCAGTGGCTTCTGAGAGCTTCATAATGTGGTGCTTTAACTATTGCGCCATTAGGGAGAGCCCAACTTTAACAAAACTTTTATCAGGAAAGTGAAAGTTTTTTTCATACAAAGTGATGAAATATGATACTTTAAAAATCTTTCTTTTATCACGTGATTTTTATATCAGAAGCCCATGAACACAAATACATTGTCTAAAATATACTGAGTGTTGAGGAGCAGCACAGTATGGTGTTATCTACTTTTGTATGTATATCTTTACTTACTTTTAAAACTACACGTAGTCTTGTATCTATATTTGTCTGTAATATCTATACGTATATATGCATATATATGTGTGTGTGTGTTTTCAATATGACATTGATATCAGGTAAAGCTTTGTTTCTTTATCATACAGCTTAATAGCATATGGCCAATGCACTTGATGGGCAGCTCACTCACTCTCCCTTGTTCTCTTTCAACCAAGTACATAAAATTTTTGTTAAGATCCCTTTAAATACTTGTGTGAGAGATGGTGTTTTTGGATCATGGACTGTAGGTGATCTGAAAAATGTCAGTATGGCGATATGCTCACCCACTTCATCTCTTAACACTCTTACTTCTTTGGATCACACACCCCTCGTTAAAACTGTGCATATACTAGGCACGAGTGGAGTCACTCCAAGTATACTTAGTTTCTGGTTTCTCATTTCTTTGAATACTCCCTCCTTCATACACACAAGAGTCATTCTGTACAGAATTGTGCTTAAACTAGAATCTTAATCTAGTTAATTTAAAGAACAGACATTAATTTCTCACATATCTGGAAACTTAGAGTTCCAAGACTACAGTGGTTCAGTTCCTTATAAGATCTGCCTGGTTTGCAGAAGGTCAATTTTTTCTTACTGTCCTCACCTGGTAGAGAGAAAAGCCCCTCTTCTTCTTCTGTTAAAGGCACCAGTACCATCACGAGGGACCCATCTTCATGACCTCACCTAAATCTAATCATCTTCCAGATACCATCACACAGGAGGCTACTGCTTCAACATATGAATTTTCTGGGAACACAAATGTTCATAACAACTAGCTCACTCCCTTCTACACAAAAAAGCAAAGTAGGCTTATTATGATTCCACTTAAGAAAAATTCTGTATTTCCTAGACAGGTAATTTGACTTCCAAGCTTCTTTTAGTGTGATTTGACATAGAAAACCACAACATCTCCAACAAAGAATTCTCTGTGGTTTCTACAATTAGTTTGTAAATGTGTGAGAAATAAATGTCTTTATGACTGAATAGTTAGCATTTAAAACAACAAAAAGAGAAGACAGAGTGTAAGAGAAGGGATAGCTTCAGAATGGCTAACACTTGAATACACTGGGATTGGGGGTGAGGCTGACATAGCACTTTGGATGCTCAGCTGTGGTTACTGACTTTTAAAGAGGTGAGAAAAAGAAAAAAACACATCTTAAGAAGAATTTACAGAAACTTCAAAAATGGCAAATATATTTCCAGAGAGCACGCTATTTTCCTCATACTCTTCTGAACAGATACCATGAACAGAGGCTACTTTGGGAAAGGAAGATGAAGCAGGAAGTTCAGATTGTAAAGTTCTAGCTCTATTGAGTTACTGACTAGTCACACTCATGAATGGTCTCTCTGATCCCAAGTAGTTCTATACAATATATCCACATACTCACATTCAGGACTCCCAAGATTCACCAAATCTCCGCCGTTCCCATATCCTTTTACGCGCACTTTTAACTGGAATTTTCCAAACCTATTTCTGACACATTCTCCAGCCCTCATCTTCCTTTGTTTGAGTTTCTGATATCCTGATCTTAGTTTCTTTATCAATTTCAGAGAAATCTGCATTTTCCAGGACATCCTTCTCCATGGTCCCAGAGTCATTTTTCTAGACAGTCCCGCTCCAGAGCTGACCCACATGATGCGGCAGACCACTCCTGACCC